ATGACAAGGTCTATTTCCCCCAAATTCCACCAGTGTTCACATTTGGGCATATTGTGTATTCGTGGCAACTTTGGTCCAGGTTTGAGTCTACAGTGCTCTCTGGATGTAGGTGAATTACAATTCCAAAACTCAAGGTCAATGCCCATCAATCCCTGCCAGTAATTTCTGTTGGTCATGGGAGTTCTGTGTGCCAAGTTTGGTTCAATCCCATTATTGATGAAGTTTAGAATGCTCTTTGTTTGTAGGTTAACTATAAATCTTAGCAACTGGTAACTATAAATCTCAGCAACTCCCAAATGACAAAATCAATCCCACCCCACCAGTATTCAGATTTGGGTGTATTGGGGATTTGTGCCCAATTTGTTCTAGTTAATGAAAATACATCCTGCATGCCAGATATTCACATTATGATTCATAATAGTAGCAAAATTACAGTTGTGAAGTAGCAAAAAAAAATAATTTTAAGGTTGGGATCACCACAACATGAGGAACTGTATTAAGGGGTCACAACATTAGGAATGTTGAGATCCATTGACTTAGAGGTCCAGAAGATTCAACACTTAAAGAGTTTTTGGATCAGGTGACATCTTGAATGTTTCTGTCAATGTGCCTTGTAATCCTGTGGACTTATGGCAACTCCATGAACTCCATAGCGTTTTCCTAAGCAGATAACTGAGCCCTCAAAATTACCAGCTGGTATTTTTCTACTATATTAAGAGATTGCATTCCCATGTTGACTGCAAAGGTAGGGAAAGAGTCATCCAGTGTCAGCAGGGAAATATGGGCTTTTGATTTATTTTGTGTCAAAAGCATTGCATAAAATAGTTTATCTAAAACTGATAAATGTGAGTAGATCAATGGGTACTGCTCCGGTGGGAAGGTAACAGCGCTCCGTGCAGTCATGCCAGCCACATGACCTATGAGGTGTCTATGGACAACGCCGGCTCTTCAGCTTAGAAACGGAGATGAGCACCACACCCCAGAGTTGGACATGACTGGACTTAATGTCTGGGGAAAACCTTTACCTTTACCTAAAACTGTTAAAATAAAGGGATCACAAGCTGCTAGATAGTTTTATACCAAAAATGAGCAACAGCAACCGCCGTCTGTAGCTTCAAACAATTCTTTCTCTGTGCATGAGGCAGGGCATTGTGGGCAGGCATACAGATGCGGAGTTGTTCTGCTTCACAGTCAGACAAGGAGGAGGATTCTTCTAAGTAATGCCATTTTGCCAGGTTGTCTTTTGATCTGCCCACTCCACTTCTGAGTCTGCTCAGGGACTTCCAGGTTGCCCTTGCTTGGTTTGCCCCTAGAGGAAGACCCTCATGGGGGGGCTATCCAGTTGGAATTGCCAGATTTTGCTGCCCACTGGGATATTTTTACTGTTGCTGGAGGAACATTTAGAGGAGTGGTGGATCTCATGAAACCTTTCCTTGATTTGAGTCTACTCGGAGGAGGCTGGTAGCCATGCAGTGGGTGGCTTTCACAATGTTCAAGCTTATTTCTCTCACAGTTAGCAGCAACTTCCCATCGCACATCAGGGTGAGCAAGGCCAGCTAGCTTGTAGTCTATCAACTGGTGTAGGTTTAAGACATCCTGTGTTGTTCCACATGTCTCATTCACCTGCTTTGTGTGGGCAGATTTATGCCAGACGGGGCAGGCATACTCAGTTGAGAAAGACAAGTCCAGGGCTGATGTTCTTATTAATTTTGGGTTTGCATCCCAGGTGCTGTTAGTAAGTTTCTGCAGGATGCTATTTCATGCCGGTACTTTGTGCTTGATGTTCGCACTAAATGTTAGCCTTCGGTCTAAGGTGATGCTGAGATATTTAGGGTGGCAACAGTGTTCAAGCTGGGAAGTCTGATCTGGCCACAGTGGCCCACGCCCTTGTTACATCCCGAATAGTCTACTGCAACGCACTCTACGTGGGGTTGCCCTTGAAGACTGTTCGGAAACTTCAACTGGTCCAGCGAGCGGCAGCCAGATTGCTCACCGGAGCGACATACAGGGAGCACACCACCACCCTGTTGTGCCAGCTCCACTGGCTGCCAGTTCAGTTCCGAGCACAATTCAAGGTGTTGGTTTTGACCTACAAAACCCTGTACGGTTCCGGTACAGGGTTTTGTCCAAACGTATCTCCCTCTACGTCCCACCCCAGAGTTTGAGATAATCTGGGGAGGCCCTGCTCTCGACCCCACCACTGTCACAACTGAGGTTGGTGGGGACGAGGAGCAGGGCTTTCTCAGTGGTGGCCCCTCACCTGTGGAACTCACTCCCGGGGGAAATTAGGGCATCATCATCCCTCCTCTCCTTCAGGAGGAAGGTAAAGATGTGGTTGTGGGACCAGACCTTTGGGCAATCTGACAACTATATAAGATAATCAGGCGAGCATGACCAGGACTGACAATGTGGAATTGAAAGTGGAACTATGAGATAGCGAACGCTGACCGTTTATGAGGAGGAATTGGGTTTGTATTGGTTTTATTGATTTTATTGGTTTTTATAGTTGTAATGTAGGAATTGTTGTCTAACTGTGAATTGATGCTATTTCTGTTTTTGACTGTTATGTGCTGCGGGCATCGAATTGTGCCTTTGCTTTTGTAAGCCGCCCTGAGTCCCCTTCGGGGTGAGAAGAGCGGGGTTGAAGAAACCGAAATAAAATAAATAAATAATAATAATAAGCTCTTGGCTTCCCAAGTAACCTTCAGTTTCCTGTTGGCTTCACAATTACATAGATGGAAAGCACACACTTGTGTCTTGGCAGGGTTAGGCTTCAGGTGGTTATCTTTGCAGTAGCTGAATAAATCTTTCAGGACAATCGTAAACTGTTTCAAAGTCTTTTGCTTGTGTTGTTAGGCCAAGGTCATCAGCATATACAAAGCTCTTTGCAAGTGGTGGTTGTGGCTGATCGTTAGTAAAGGTTGGTGCAAGAATGGTGCTTTGAGGTAGACCAGTGGTTCTCAACCTGTGGGTCCTCAGATGTTCAACTCCCATAAATCCTAACAGCTGGTAACTTGGCTGGGATTTCTGGGAGTTGTAGTCCAAAACACATGGGGATCGAAAGGTTGAGAACCAATGAGGTAGACCTTTCTTTTGCCTCCTCCATCTAATCTTCCTGCCCTGAAACTCTTAGTTGCATAGCATCCCTGCATGGAATTCCTGCTTGCCATAAATGAATCGGGACCTCATTAAACCCAAAGCTGTCCTAATATTTCCTCTACCCTTTCGGGTTAATCTACATAAATATAGAAGTCCAACTATGTGCATCTGCTTGTCTGTTGGTACCACAAACACTTTTGTTAGTGAAGTGGCCCTTTGTGGTATCACTGGACTGGCTGTTGCTAGGTAAATTTCCCTCTGTGATGTCACTGAACTGACTGTGGAAGGATTGACTTCCTAGGTGAAGGACTTACTTGCTAGAACCGTGTTTCTCAACCTTCCTAATGCCGTGACCCCTTAATACAGTTCCTCATGTTGTGGTGACCCTCAATCATAAAATTATTTTCGTTGCTACTTCATAACTGTAATTTTGCTACTGTTATGAATCGTAATGTAAATATCTGGCATGCAGGATGTATTTTCATTCACTGGACTAAATTGGGCACAAATACCCAATACACCCAAATCTGAATACTGGTGGGGTGGGATTTATTTTGTCATTTGGGAGTTGCTGGAATTTATAGTTGCCATCCAAACAATGATGGATCAGAACCAAACTTGACACAAATCCTCAATATGCCCAAATGTGAACACTGGTGGACTTTGGGGAAAATAGACCTTGACATTTGGGAGTTGTAGTTGCTGGGATTTATAGTTCACCTACAATCAAAGAGCATTCTGAACTCCACCAATGATGGAATTGAACCAAACTTGGCACACAGAACTCCCATGACCAAGAGGAAATACTGGAAGGTTTTGGTGAGCATTGACCTTGAGTTTTGGAGTTGTAGTTCACCTACATCCAGAGAGCACTGTGGACTCAAACAATGATGGATCTGGACCAAACTTGGCACAAATCCTCAATATGTCTAAATGTGAACGCTGATGGAGTTTAAGGGAAATAGACCTTGCATTTGGGAGTTGTAGTTGCTGGGATTTATAGTTCACCTACAATCAAAGAGCATTCTGAACTCCACCAATGATGGAACTGAGCCAAACTTGGCACACAGAACTCTCATGACAAGGAGAAAATACTGGGTGGGGTTTGATGAGCATTGACCTTGAGTTTTGGAGTTGTAGTTCACCTACATCCAGAGAGCACTGCGAACTGAAACAATGATGGATCAGAACCAAACTTGACATGAGTACTCAATATGCCCAAATGTGAACACTGGTGGAGTTTGGGGAAAATAGACCTTGACATTTGGGAGTTGTAGTTGCTGGGATTTATAGTTCACCTACAATCAAAGAGCATTCTGAACTCCACCAATGATTGAACTGAACCAAACTTGGCACACAGAACTCCCATGACCAAGAGAAAATACTGGAAGGGTTTTGGTGGGCATTGACCTTGAGTTTTGGAGCTGTAGTTCACCTACATCTAGAAAGTACTGTGGACTCAAACAATGATGGATCTGGTGCTTTGAATGCAATTTTCCTGCTTCTTGGCAGGGGGTTGGACTGGATGGCCTATGAGGTCTCCTCCAACACTATGATTCTATGAAAGCAAAGAGGCAGCGGCTGCTCTGGTACCTGGGCAACAGTCAGTATATATGCTACTATAGTATACCAGTTATAACATTGCAGATGAATAATGGTTAGTTAACAATTGTTTGGTTACCGCAGTGTCAAACCATATGTTGTTAGACTAAGAACATAATGTCAAAGGGAGTGTTGTGGGTTCTTCTCCTGGGCGAAAAGGCTGGCTTCTTCCCTCCTACAATGTTTACCTTGGGTCTGCGGAATGTACACTTCTTTTTAAGCACACTTGCTAGGGAAGTCTTTTTTGTTGCTGTTTAACATCACCCTCTGTCTTCTTTTTTTGCTCTTTCCCTGTACAGTTTTGCCCCGCAGAGCACTCCCCTGAGCGAATTGCTGACAGCTCCTGAAGGAGACGTTTGAATGAATAAGGCAAAACAGCCCAGTGGCCTCCCTCCTGTCAACAGCACAAATAGCAATCAAGTCTTGCAAAAACATGTGCAGAGCTGTTGATGAGTAGCACATGGCTTTGGAGAGGAGGAAGAGGAGGAGGAGCAGGAGGGCGGAGGGCGCTGCTCTTCCAATTTACAGCAAGATCCCGAAGGACTTCATGCTTATAAGACGAGAGAGATGCTAAGGCAGAAGCCGGCTCCACAGATGTGGCCAAAGCAGGAAGATCCGGCAGCTGATTGACCGGTGGTGCCAGCCTTTGCTTCTTGGAACGGCACAGATCTGCTTAGACGAAAAAAGAGCCCGATCCACAAGCAAAACAGGACTTAAAATGCCAGCTAAGGGCAAATACTTCTTCAACGATAGCGAAGGCTGCAAGCTGGCTGACCCTTTGTATGAGAAGTACCGCTATTCGAGTCAGCAGCACCCGCTCCTATTCTTCCTGCTCTTCATCGCAATTGCCTACTGCATGACCCTCCTCATCGTGGTCCTCAGCTACAATGTGAGTATACAGCGCAAGGCTTTTATTTATTTATATACTAGCTTGGGGACCCGGCAGTGCCCGGGTTATTAGAAGAGGGCATTGTTTGTTTGGGAGTATTTAATATAATAATAATCATCATCATCATCTATATAGGAGCCCCCAGTGGCGCAGTGGGTTAAACCCCTGTGCCGGCAGGAATGAAGACCGACAGGTCGCAGGTTCGAATCCGGGGAGAGGCGGATGAGCTCCCTCTATCAGCTCCAGCTCCTCATGCGGGGACATGAGAGAAGCCTCCCACAAGGATGATAACAACATCAAATCATCCAGGCGTCCCCTAGGCAACGTCCTTGCAGACGGCCAATTCTCTCACACCAGAAGCGACTCCTGACACACAAAAAAAATAAAACAAATGCAAAATGTAGTGTTCGTTTGTGGTATTAACATAACTCAAAAACCACTGGACAATTGACACCAAATTTGGACACAAGACACCTACTAACCAAGGAGATGACCATCACTCAAAAAATTGATTTTGCATTGGGAGTTGTAGTTGCTGGGAATTATAGTTCACCTACAATCAAAGAGCATTCCGAACCCCACCAATGATGAAATTGAACCAAACTTGGCACTTAGAACTTCCATGACCAACAAAAAATACTGGAAGGTTTTGGTGGGCATTGACCCTGAGTTTGGCAGTTGTAGTTCACCTACATCCAGAGAGCACTGTGGACTCAAACAATGATGGATCTGGCCCAAACTTGGCATGGATATTCCATATGCCCAAATATGAACACACATGGAATTTGGGGAAAATAGACCTTGAAATTTGGGAGTTGTAGTTACTGGGATGTATAGTTCATGTACAATCAAAGAGCATTCTGAACCCAACTAACAACAGATTTGGGGCAAACTTATTACACAGAATCCCCACGACCAATGGAAAATACTCAAGGCCATCCAATCCAACTCCCTTCACCAGGGCAAGAAAACATAATCAAAGCCCTCCTGACAAAGAGCCATCCAGCCATAGTTATAGATAGATAGATAGATAGATAGATAGATAGATAGATAGATATGATTCACATCTACACAGATATAGCATCATAGATTAGAAAGAGACCTCTAAAGAAGGGCAATTATATTTTGCATGTTTCAGAGTAGGCAAACCAGACAATCTCCACTTTCTCATTACTTTTCCCGATCACCAGAGTGGGCCACAGCAACGCGTGGCAGGAGACAGCTAGTAATAATAATAATAATAATAATTATTATTATTATTTATATCCCACCACCATATCCCCAAAGGGGATTCGGGGCGGCTAACATGAGGCCAAGCCCAAAATACAATACAGCAAAATAAAATACAGAATGCAGACAACAAAAAATCACATCAGAATAAAATACATACAGTAGCAAAATAAAATAAACAAAGCAAATTAACACATTATAAAATAGAACAAAATGGCAGGCCAAATGGACGAGGTAAAATGATAAAGCCCTGGATGAGGTAGGAAAGAAAATATATAATTGAGGGGAGCTCTAAAAGAGTAAACAGTGGGGTAGGCTTTCAGTATGGGACAGGGAAAAGTGCATCATAAGGGCAACACTATAGATGGAGCAAAGAGAAATGGGATAAATGGTCACTCTCCAAAGGCACATCGGTAGAGCCAAGTTTTCAAATTTTTCTTGAAGGCTGCTAAGATGGGTAATTATTGGGTTGGTAATGTGTAACACTATTTATTAGGAAAAAGTCAGTCTTTACTTTTGTTTTTTTTATGAATGCTCCCATTGGAAAAAGCATTTGTGTGCTCATTTAAGTGAACTACAATTCCCAAAATCATGTGTTTGTCCTCCCAAAAACCTGCCTGCATCCAAAGTTGATCATGCTGGATCTGTGTTTGGTCCAGATCTGATGTTGGCTGAGTTCAGGATGAACTACAACTCCCAGATCCTAGGTCAATCACCCCCAAAGTGAACCTGTATGCACAGTTGGCCATGTTGGATTTGTGTGCCAAGTTTGGTCCAGATCCGAAGTCAGCTGGGTTCGGTGCTCTCTGGATAAGGGTGAACTACAACTCCCAGAGACAAGGTCAGTCACCCCCAAACCACTGTGCACCTGTACGCACAGTCATGTTGGTTCTGTGTGCCCACTTTGGTCCAGATCTGATGTCGGTTCAGTGCTCTCTGGGTAAGGGTGAACTACAACTCTCAGAGCCAAGGTCAATCACCCCCAAACCCCTGTGCACCTGTACACACAGTTGGCCATATTAGGTCTGTGTGCCCAGTTTGGTCCAGATCTGATGTTGGCTGGGTTCCATGCTCTCTGGATAAGGCCGAACTACGTCTCCCAGAGCCAAGGTCAATCATCTCCAAACCCCTGGGCATCGATATGCACAGTTGGTCATGTTGGGTCTATCTTCCCACTTTGGTCCAGATCTGATGTTGGCTGAGTTCACCCCAAACCCCTGTGTGCCTGTGTGCACACTTGGCCATGTTGGGTCTGTGTGCCCAGTTTGGTCCAGATCCAATGTCGATTGAGTTCAGTGCTCTCAGGATAAGGGTGAACTACAACTTCCAGAGCCAAGGTCAATCACCGGCAAACCCCTGGGCATCTATATGCACAGTTGGTCATGTTGGGTCTATGTGCCCACTTTGGTCCAGATCTGATGTTGGTTCATTGCTCTCTGGGTAAGGGTGAACTACAACTCCCAGAGCAATGGTCAGTCACCCCCAAACCCCTGTGTGCCTGTGTGTACAGTTGGCCATGTTGGGTCTGTGTGCTCAGTTTTGTCCAGATCCAATGTCAGTTGAGTTCTGTGCTCTCAGGATAAGGGTGAACTACAACTCCCAGAGCCAAGGTCAAGCACCCCCAAACCCCTTTGTGCCTGTATGCACAGTTGGCCAGTTGGGTGCTTGCCATAGATGCAGGCGAAACGTCAGTAGAGAATGCTTCTAGAATATGTCCGTATAGCCCGAAAAACCTACAACGCACTTTCAGAGTTGTTCTTTGATAGTGGTATGACATATGCTATTCACACAAAAAGCTCCCAGGCTTTGATTTTGGGCATCTTCAGAGAGAAAGATCATGTAGTACGTGGTCCTTATTGTTCATGTGTGCCTTCAAGTTGTTTATGGCTTTTGGCAACTCCAAGGTGAACCTATCATAGGGCTTTCGTGGCATGATTTGCTCAGGTGGGGTTTGCCTTTGCCTTCCTCCAGCACTGAGGGAGTGGGACTTGTCCAAAGTCAACCACCCCAAAACTGAACTTCAGACTTTCTGTTGGGATTAGAAGGACATTTTGCCTGAGATCCTGGAGAACAGCTTTTGGTCAGAAGAAAACAATATAGATCAGGACCTACTGGTAGATCTTTGTGATAGGTCGGTAGGGATTTCTGACTCACAGTTATTTAACAGTCATAACTCCAAAGTCATTCATACCTTAAGTTGGTGATATTGAAATAATAATAATAACAAATAATATTAATTATTATATTATGTTATAGTAATATTAATAATTATTATTATGTTGAAGGAAACATGAGTTTGATTTCAAATTGAAGCATTTTGAGGTACTTTCAGTTCTTTGGGTCACTTCTTATGATTATTTAAGTCTAAACCAGCATTGCTCAACCTGGGGGTTGGGACCCCGGGGGGGGGGGGTCGCAATGGGGGTGTCAGGGGGCCGCAAAAGACCATCAGAAAGCACAATATTTTCTGTTGGTCCTGGGAGTTCTGTGTGGGGAGTTTGGCCCAATTCTATCATTGGTGGGGTTCAGAATGTTATTTGATTGTAGGTGAACTATAAATCCCAGCAACTCAAACTCCCAAATGTCAAGGTGTGTTTTCCCCCAAATTCACCACTGTTCACATTTGGGCATATTGAGTATTTGTACCAAGTTTAGTCCAGATCCATCATAATTTGAGTCCACAGTGCTCTCTAGATGTAGGTGAACTACAACTCCAAAACTCAAGGTCAATGTCCACCAAAACCCTTCCAGTATTTTCTCTTGGTCATGGGAGTTCTGTGTCCTAGGTTTGGTTCAGTTCCATCATTGGTGGAGTTCAGAATGCTCTTTGATTGTAGGTGAACTATAAATCCCAGCAACTACAACTCCCAAATGACAAAACCAATCCCCCACCCCCCACAACCCCACCAGTATTCAAATTTGGGCGTATTGGGTATTTGTGCCAATTTTTTTCCAGTTAATGAAAATACATCCTGCATATCAGAAACTTACATTACGATTAATAACAGTAGCAAAATTACTGTTACGAAGTAGCAACAAAAATAATGTGACGGTTGGGGGTCACCACAACATGAGCAACTGTATTAAGTGGTCGCGGCAATAGGGAGGTTGAGAAACACTGGTCTAAATGTATAATTTTTGATTGATGAGTAAATGCATGCACCAACACACAAAAGAAAAGAGAGAGCTGTTCAGTCACCTTTCCATGTTCCTAATATTTACCAGGTTCAGGTAGATCCAAAATTGCAGATTGCTTAGGGTCAACTTCATGACTATTTCCCTTTTGCTTTCCCTTTCACAGGACCCTCGCGATCACCTTGCCTTTGTCATTACAGTGAGCGTTGCTCTCATGATCTTTATCATCATGTATGTGCTGGTTTACATTGAATACTTCTTTTGGTGCCAACTGAAGCTGTTTGCTATTGTGATTTGGATCTGCTTGCTGGCCATTGGATACGTGTCTATTTTTGGCAAGAGACATACGACTCAACTTTCGGCATGGGAACAGGTATTTGCCCCATCTCTTCATCTTTATCTCAGTCCTTCCTTTCAATGTATTGTAGATGACAACATTCTCTAACTTGGTGTCCTTAAGGTGTTTGGGACTATCTATCTTACCATCTCTGACCGTTAGTCCAAAACCAGTCTGGAGAACGTGACATCTATGTCACCCCCAACCTTATTTGATCCTTCATCCTACCTGAGATGAAGGATCAAATTCTGCCTGTCTCCAACTTGGTGTCCTCAAGGTGTCTGGAACTATCTACCCTACCATCTCTGACCATTAGTCCAAAACCAGACTGGAGAATGTGGTATTTATGTTCACCCCAACCTTATTTGATCCTTCATCCTACATGAGATGGATTCTGCCTGTCTCCAACTTGGTGTCCTCAAGGTGTTGGATACTATCTGTCCTACCATTTCTGACCATTAGTCCAAAACCAGGCTGGAGAATGTGGTATCTATGTTCATCCCAATCTTATTCGATCCTTCATCTTACGTGAGATGGATTCTGCCTGTCTCCAACTTGCTGAGAAAGGCGGGATATAAATATGGTAAATAAATAAATAGATACATGAGATGGATTATGTCTGTCTCCAACTTGGTGTCCTCAAGGTGTTTGAGACTATCTATCCTACCATCTCTGACCATAAATCCAAAACCAGGCTGGAGAATATGGTATCTATGTTCACCCCAACCTTATTCGATCCTTCATCCTACATGAGATGGATTCTGCCTGTCTCCAACTTGATGTCCTCAAGGTGTTTGAGACTATCTATCCTACCATTTCTGACCATAAATTCAAAACCAGTTTGGAGAATGTGGTATCTATGTTCACCCCAACCTTATTTGATCCTTCATCCTAGATGAGATAGATTCTTCTTGTCTCCATCTCTATATCCATCCCATGTTCGATGGGTTCTGAAATGGAGAGAGACAGAAAGTTATGCAAGAATCTAAGTTCAATGATTGGCAAATTGGAATTCATCTTTAAGTTCCCAGTCTTAAGATGGACATTCTGATAGCTTCCCATAATTTTTCTATCTCTGCTGTGCTTATTTAAACTCATTTTCAAATCCATCCATGTTTAAAAGAATGGAAAAATGGCTTCCTATTTAAGGCTGACTGCCTCTCCCTAGATGCTGCTCATTATGCAAATGAGCCTGGCTAATCACCTGCAGGGTGGGGAATCATTTAATTATGACATCAATTTGCAAAACTAATAGTTCTTTGATTGTGGGCAATTAGGGGCAGCATAGAGAGTTGCAGCTGTGGGTGTGCCTTAGAGGAATGATATTCAAGCTAGAGAGAGAGAAGGCCTACGAGGTATGGATGGGAAGAATATGCACAATGCCCCTGTGTGTGTAGGTTTGCATGTGACTGAACTTGATGATTTCGTCTCTCTGGCTTAGAAACAGGTATCATCACAAAAGGTGTAAAATGGGACATATTAAAACATGAGGAAGTAAGCGTAAGAGGGAGTTCCTCTTGCAGTATGTTCCGAATGAAGCAGAGAGTGTTTGAGGATTAGGACATCCATAGGGATACCAAGGTGCCTGTTTTTAAAGCTATTGTCTCCCAACCTTGCTATACGCCTGCGAGACGTGGACAGTCTACAGACATCACATGCAACTCCTAGAACGATTCCATCACTGCTGCCTCTGAAAAATCCTACAAATCTCTTGGGAAGACAAGCGGACAAATGTCAGCTTGCTGGGAGAAGCAAAGCATTGAAGCAATGGTCCTCCACCATCAACTCCGCTGGACCAGCCACGTTGTCCGAATGCCCAACCACTGTCTCCCAAAGCAGTTGCTCTACTCCGAACTCAAGAACGGAAAATGGAATGTTGGTAGACAGGAAAATAGATTTGAAGATGGACTCAAAGCCAACCTTAAAAACTCTGGCATAGACACTGAGAACTGGGAAGCCTTGGCCCTTGAGCGCTCCAGCTGGAGGTCAGCTGTGACCAGCAGTGCTGTGGAATTTGAAGAGGCATGAATGGAGGGCGGAAGAGAGAAACATGCCAAGAGGAAGGCATGTCAAGCCAACCCCGACCAGGACCACTTTCCACCTGGAAACCAATGCCCTCACTGCGGGAGAACATGCACATCAAGAATAGGGCTCCACAGTCACCTACAGACCCACCGCCAGTACACCGATCTTGGAAGACAATCCTACTTGGACAACGAGGGATTGCCTAAGGAAGGATGTTTGAACAAAAACACATGCAATTATAAAAATCAAAACATCCTGCATTGCAATCTACAAGGACAGATATATTTTAATCTATAGTAGCACCTCTACTTTTGCAAGGGTTGGGGTGCAAGATCCCTGCAAAAGAGGAAAAACATCAGAGAACAGATGTCTGGGAATCTCTAAATCCTCCAAGGCAATTTTATGGCCAACTTCTGCCAGAAGCTATCCATAGAATCATTCTAGAGCACCTAGAAATTCCTAGAGACGTGTCCTCACTAGACATTTGTAGGGCCTCTATGGTGACTCTGTGGACCTTGGGATGAGCTAAATATTTCTAAGGAAAGTATTAATCAAATCCACCATGGACTTCTTCTGAAGGACCTAGACTGTTTGAGAGAGAATATAGAAATCAAATTACTTAAATCCACCTTCCTAATGTCACGACCTCTTAATACAGTTCCTCATGTTGTGGTGACCCCCAACTGTAAAATTATTTTCATTGCTACTGTTATGAATCATAAATATCTGATATGCAGGATGTATTTTCATTCACTGGACCAAATTTGGCACAAATACACGATATGCCCAAATTTGAATACTGGTGTGGTTGAGTGGGGGTGTGTGTGTTGATTTTGTTATTTGGGAGTTGTAGTTGCTGGGATTTATAGTTAACCTGCAATCAAAGAGCAGTCTGAACTCCACCAATGGTGGAATTGAACCAAACTTGGCAGACAGAACTCCCATGACCAACAAAAAATAGCATACCGTTAACTGCAGTAGGTAGAACGGGAAGTCACAAAGGAACAGCTCTCTTTAGTCCTTAGTCACTAGTCTCTTACCTCATAGTTTTAATTCATTTCCTTTGAACATCTCTGTCACCTAGCTAGATAGTTTTAAGATCAACATCTACTCATAGGTAAGTCTGGATCTCTCTCTCTCTCTCTCTCTCTCTATATATATATATACTAGCTGTACCCGGCACACTTTGCTGTTGCCAACCTTCCATCCCTCTTTCTCTCTTTCTCTCTTTCTCTCCTTCCTTCCTTCCCTCCCTCTCTCTTTCCTTCCTTCCTTCCTTCCTTCCTTCCATTTTTCTTTCCTTCTATACTTCCTTCCTTCTCTTCCTCCTCCCTTCCTTCCCCTCCTTTTTCTTTCTTTTTTCTTTCTCTCCTTTCTTCCTTCTCTACCTATTCTTGGACTGCAACTCCTAGCAGTCCTCCTGATTGATCTACCTACCTATCTATCTCTATCTAATCTATGTATCTCTATCTAATCTATGTATCTTATCTATCTGGAAGATTGTTGGGAGTTGCAGTCCAGGAATAGGAAATTGGAAATATGCAGTGATTTGGGATGCTCTCAAAGAAATCTAAAGAGAAGAAAGCTTGCAGCTTGGAAGCAGTGCATTTGGATCACCCTCCTCTCCTAAAGGGCCTCATCTAGGGGATGCCGGGAGCTGTAGTCTGGAAAAGAGTGTGGATATGCTATTGTGTGTTTTGTTTGCCAGGGAAGTTGTTTTTTTGCGCATGCACTGTAGTGTCTTTTTGCTTTTTTGGCTTTTCAGCCACTTCTGCCATATTTTTCAGTCTTTTTGTGAGTGATGGTCACTCATTGGCCTGATAGGTGTGTTGTGTCCAAATTTGGTGTCAATTCGTCCAATTCGTCCAGTGCTTTTTGAGTTATGTTAATCCCACAAATTAACATTACATTTCTTTTATTTATATAGACTAGCTATCCCCTGCCACGCTTTGCTGTGGCCCAGTCTCATGAGCTGAAAAATAAAGTAACGAGGAAGTGTTGGTTTCTAATATATATAATGTCTTGATGCTTGTAGGTTAACAATTTCTTGTTCTTTCTTTGTCATTGTTGATGTGGAGATTGACTGGTTTGCCTACTCTGGAACATGCAACATATAATTGTCCTTCTTTAGGGGTCCCTTCCAAACCATTGATACTATATCTGTGTGTGTGTGTGAATCATATCGATCTATCTATATCTATGGCTGGATGGCTCTTTGTCAGGAGGGCTTTGATTACATTTTCTTGCCCTGGTGAAGGGAGTTGGACTGGATGACCTTGAGTATTTTCTGCTGGTCATGGGGGTTCTGTGTGGGAAGTTTGCCCCAATTCTCTCATTGGTGGGGTTCAGAATGCTCTTTGATTGTAGGTGAACTATAAATCCCATTAACTACAACTCCCAAATGTCAAGGTCTATTTTCCCCAAACTCCATCTGTGTTCATTTTGAGCATTTGGAATATTCAAGCTGTGCTGTTGCACGCTGGGCCTGTGCATAAGACTCTAGACAGGACATAAATTCTGTGTGCCCAACGGGACGCAGGGGCTGTCTCAGATTAAAGGCCTTTGGATTTCCTTAAACAGAGTCTTTAGATTGCTTAAAGGTTCAACAAAGTTCTTTATTATTGATGAAAACAAACAGGTACTTTAAAGCTTTCTTAACAGTCTATTGGCTCTTTCAATCTTGTCCACAGAGAACAGGCACTATCTTCTTAACTGTAAATGATGGGGAAATCCTTAACTTCTAATCTGGGCAGTCTGTCTTTGCCTCTGTTGGCGTGGAGCCCCTGCACCTGGTACCAACTGCTTCTGGCTTCCACAAGCGAGCCTTACCAAGCAGAGCTTTGTAGACTTCCAAGGGAAAAGGAGTTCAGGTTTTGGGGATGGCTGGCTGAAGTCCCTCAGCAAAGGAACTGTAGGGCTGTATGATCCTCGGCCAAGCTGTGGACTGTAAAACCCCAGCCAAGCTGTGGGGCTGTATATCCCCGGCCAAGCTGTAGGCTGTATATCTCCCCGGCCAAGCCGTAGAAGATTAAGCTTTCTACAGGAGGTCTTGGTATTATGTCCTGCATGGAAAGCTTCTCTGTGTGGACTGAACCCAAACTGGCTCCTATTCCCTCCAAAACCCAAAAAGGGGGTGGGACCAGGGAACCTAACTAAAATTGACATGTGGCTTGCCCTATGATTGCAGCCAAAAGGAGCCACCTATCTGCAGAGTCCCTGAAACTTAGGACTACAACAAACATTCAATGCAAAGCAAACAAAATTGGAGCTCCTGGTACAGCTGTACCAGCACACAAGCCAAGTTTGGTCCAGACCCATCGTTATTTGAGTCCGCAGTGCTCTCTGGATGTAGGTGAACTACAACTCCCAAACTCATGATCAATGCCCACCAAACCCAGTATTCTGTTTGTCATTGGAGTTCTGTGTGCCAAGATTGGTTCAATTCCATCATTGATGGAGTTCAGAATGCTCTTTGATTATAGATGAACTATAAATCCCAGAAACTACAACTCCCAAATGACAAAAAAAATGAGTGATGGTCACTCCTCGGGTTAGTAGGTGTCTTGTGGCCAAATTTGGCGGCAATTCATTCAGTGGTTTTTGAGTTATGTTAATCCCACAAACGAACATTACATTTTTATAGATATAGATGCATATCAGATATTCACATTATGATTCATAACAGTAGCAAAATGACAGTTATGAAGTAGCAACGAAAATAATGATAATAAAGAAACATTAGAAAAGAAGAATGGAAGGAAATTTGGTTGAAAAGATTAAAATATTCTTATGCGGTAGATCTTAGAGAAAACTGGGTCAAGATATCACAAAGATGGTACATGACCCCCCCAAAATTAGGCAAAATCTATAACAACACGTCCACCACATGTTGGAAATGTAGGAGTAAAGAAGGGTCATTCTTCCACATGTGGTGGACGTGTGACAAAGCCAAAAATTTTTGGAGGATAATTCATAAAGAAACCCAAAACATGTTAAAAATACAGTTACCCTTGAAACCGGAGATATTTTTATTAGGAATGTATGACAGAAACCTGGATAAGGACAAGGATAAATTATTATTCCTGGCGCTCACAGCAGCAAGAATGTGTTACGCCAAGATGTGGAGACAAGAAGAGATCCCAGAGGAAGATGATTGGGTTATAAAAATATTAGATATCAGGAACCTGGACAAATTAACCTTCTTGCTGCTGAAAAATAAAGAAATCAAAAGAAACGAAACGGACTGGAGTGAAGTCACGGAATATTTAAAAAAGAAGAAAAAAGAAATAGTAATATGAGAAAAATAAATTAAGACGGAAGCACGATAAAAAGAGGGAAGGAAGAAAAATATGATCATCAAGTTTGCAGACGACACCAAATTGGGAAGGATAGCCAATAGTCCAGAGGACAGGAGCAGAATTCAAAACGATCTTGACAGATTAGAGAGATGGGCAAAACTAACAAAATGAAGTTCAACAGTGACAAATGCAAGATACTCCACTTTGGCAGGAAAAACGAAATGCAAAGATACAGAATGGGGGACGCCTGGCTCGAGAGCAGTACGTGTGAAAAAGATCTTGGAGTCCTCGTGGACAACAAGTTAAACATGAGCCAACAATGTGATGTGGTGGCAAAAAAAGCCAATGTGATTTTGGCCTGCATCAATAGGAGCATAGTGTCTAGATCTAGGGAAGTAATGCTACCCCTCTATTCCGCTTTGGTTAGACCACACCTGGAATATTGTGTCCAATTCTGGGCACCACAATTCAAGAGAGATATTGACAAGCTGGAATGTGTCCAGAGGAGGGCGACTAAAATGATCAAGGGTCTGGAGAACAAGCCCTATGAGGAGCGGCTTAGGGAACTGGGCATGTTTAGCCTGAAGAAGAGAAGGCTGAGAGGAGATATGATAGCCATGTATAAATATGTGAGAGGAAGCCACAGGGAGGAGGGAGCAAGCTTGTTTTCTGCTTCCTTGGAGACTAGGACACGGAACAATGGCTTCAAACTACAAGAGGAGATTCCATCTGAACATGAGGAAGAACTTCCTGACTGTGAGAGCCGTTCAGCAGTGGAACTCTCTGCCCCGGAGTGTGGTGGAGGCTCCTTCTTTGGAAGCTTTTAAACAGAGGCTGGATGGCCATCTGTCAGGGTGATTTGAATGCAATATTCCTGCTTCTTGGCAGGGGGTTGGACTGGATGGCCCATGAGGTCTCTTCCAACTCTTTGATTCTATGATTCTAAGGAACCAGCATGAAATGACTCTACTAAGAAGATCTCCGGAAGATGCCAGGAAGCATCTTTTCTTTTTTTTCTTTTTTTTTTTAAATTTTTCTTTTTATTTTTCTTTATTACTATTATTATTTTTCTCACCTTTTTTTCTATTTTTTTTCCTTCACATCGGTGAAGCTGTACAACAATTTCTCTTTGCTTGTTTGTTTGCTGAAACTCTAATAAAGATAGTTTTTTTAAAAAAGAAAATAATGATATGGTTGGGGGTCACCACATGAGGAACTGTATTAAGGGGTCGCGGCATTAGGAAGGTTGAGAAACACTGCTCCAGGTTCTTCATTCCACTTCTCTAGTTATCAGTAGATCTTCCATCAAGATTCTGAGATCAACCATTTATTATTTATTTATTTATTTGCTTTATTTCTATACCGCATTTTTCAGCCCAAACAGGCGACTCAATGCGGTTTACAAGGTACAAGTTATCACAACAATGTCAGTGCAGTTAAAAACGCAACAAATGCAACAACAAAATCAACAACATCAATCAACAACAATTAACAAGAACAAACATAACGCCTCAGTGAAATCAGATCCGTTCTCATAATCCTTGTGCCATTCCTATGTTCCATTTACCATCTTCCTATGTTCGGTTGCACTGTTTAACCAAACGCTTGTTCATAAAGCCAGGTCTTGACCTTTCTCCGAAACGCCAGCAACGAAGGTGCCTGTCTGATGTCTGCCGGCAAGGCATTCCATAGCCGAGGGGCCACCACTGAGAAGGCCCTGTCTCTCGTCCCCGCCAAGCGCGCCTGTGACGCAGGCGGGACCGAGAGCAGGGCCTCCCCAGACGATCTTAATGTTCTAGTCGGTTCATAGGTGGAGATGCGTTCGGAGAGGTAAGTGGGGCCAGAACCGTTTAGGGCTTTATAGGCTAAAGCCAGCACCTTGAATTATAAGCAAGATATATGTCTTATTTTATATTGTTTTCTGAGTACTGCTTCTTTTATAACTTCTCCTGATCTCTTGAAACCTTTCTCATGACTGTCAACAATATCCAAATGTTCTCCTTCCTTCTTTTTCAGGTGCCATTTTTTCTGTTCATCATCTTCACTGCTTATACCATGTTACCTTTTGGAATGAGAGATGCCATAATCGTCAGCACTATTACCGCATTGTCGCATATTATAGTCCTGAGCATTGCTTTAGTGGAACGCAACAAGCAAAGTCAGGTGATCCTTATTTGTCAGGTAAGGCAATAAAATAATAAAAAGTTGGCCAATGACTGTAATGACCAGTTAATTTATTAGCACTTGTAAGAAAAGATTCATGAATCATGACCCATTTTTTATCTAGAGCAGACATGTTGAATCCATTGAATTTCCTTAAGTGTTGATTTATTCAATTCCAATTGAGTCAGTAAGTGTGATTCTGAATATAACCTTGTCCTGAATATTACAGAAAATACATTTCACTTCTTAAGAACAGAGGGAAATGGCTTCTTCTAGAACAGTGTTTTTCAACCTGGGAGTTGGGACGCCTGGGGGGTTTGGTGTCAGAAGGGTCACCAAAAACCATCAGAAAACACAGTATTTTCTGTTGATTTGTGTGGGAAGTTTGGCCCAATTCTATCACTGGTGGGGCTCAGAATGCAGAATGCTCTTTGATTGTAGGAGAACTATAAATCCCAGCAACTACAGCTCCCAAATTTCAAGGTCTATTTCCACCAAACTCCACCAGTGTTCATATTTGGGCATATTGAGTATTCGTGCCAAGTTTGGTCCAGATCCATTATTGTTTGAGTCCACAGTGCTCTCTGGATGTAAGTGAACTACAACTCCAAAACTCCAGGTCAATGCCCACCAAACCCTTCCAGTATTCAGTTCTTGTGGGTTTTTTCGGGGTATGGCCATGTTCTAGAGGCATTTCTCCTGACGTTTCGCCTGCATCTTTTCTGTTGGTCATGGGAGTTCTGTGTGCCAATTCCAATTTCATCGTTTGTGGAGTTCAGAATGATCTTTGATTGTAGGTTAGCAATAAATCCCGGCAACTGGCAACTATAAATCCCAGCAACTCCCAAATGACAAAATCAATCCCACCTCACCAGTATTCAGATTTGGGCATATTGGGTATTTGTGCCAAATTTGGTCCAGTGAATGAAAATACATCCTACACATCAGATATTCACATTATGATTCATAACAGTAGCAAAATTACAGTTGTGAAGTGGCAACAAAAATAATTTAATTGTTGGGGGTCACCACAACATGAGGAACCGTATTAAAGGTTTGCAACATTAGGAAGGTTGAGATCCACTATTCTTCCTTCTTGTCAATACGAAATTTTATGTTGATTTAATTGACCAAAATGCAAGAGAATTCATCTTTTAAAAATGGCATAGCTAACAAGAACAGCTTCTCTCTCGTGTATGTATGTATGTGTGTGTGTGTATATAATATAATATAATATAATATAATATAATATAATATAATATAATATAAATGAAAATAAGGACATTGTGGGAACTGGCTATTGCCCATTTGGAAACTTCTTAACAAATCTATATAAATAAAAATGCAATGTCCGTTTGTAGGATTAACAGAGCTCAAAAACCACTGGACGAATTGACACCAAAGTTGGACACAAGACACCTCTCAGGCCAACAAGTGACCATCACTCATAAAAACACTGAAAAACACAACAGAAGGGACTTAGAAAGTCAAACAACAGCAAAAAACCCACATTACAACACACATGCAAAACCACATATATATACACAAACATATATATATATACACACACACATATATATGTATATGCATATACACACAGAACACATACAAAGAAAGGAGGAAGGAAAGATGGGTAGAGAAGGAAGGAAGGAGAGAAGGAGGGAGAGAAGAAGGGAAAGAAGGAGGGAAGGAGAGAAAGAAGGAAAGAAAGAAAGGTAGAGAAGGAAGAAGAGAAAGAGGGAAGGAGAGAAGGAAGGAAAGAAAGAAGGGCAAAGAAGGAAGGAAGGAGAGAAGGAAGGAAAGAAGGAGGGAAGAAGATAAAGAAGGAAAGAAAGAAGGGTAAAGAAGGAAGGAAGGAGAGAAGGAGGGGGAGAAAGAGGGAAAGAAGGAGGGAAGGAGAGAAGGAAAGAAAGAAAGGTAAAGAAGGAAAGAAGGAGAGAAAGAGGGAAAGAAAGAAGGGTAGAGAAGGAAGAAAGGAGAGAAGGAACGAAAGACAGAAAGAGGGAAGGAAGGAAGGTAGGAAAGAGACAAGGAAAGAAAAAGAGAGGGAAGGAAGGAGAGAGAGAAAGGAGAGAAAGAGGGAGGGAAGGTTGGCCACAGCAACGCGTGGCGGGTACAGCTAGTCTATATAAATAAAAATGTAATGTTCATTTGTGGGATTAACATAACTCAAAAACCACTGGACGAATTGACACCAAATTTGGACACTACACCCCTAACAGACCAATGAGTGACCATCACTCATAACCCCCCTCCCAAAAAAAACCCAGCAGAAAAGACTTAAAAAGCTAAATAACGATAAATGACACATAGAAAGAAAGGGAAGGAGAGGGAGGGAAGGAAGGGGGAAAGAAAGAAAGAAGGAAGGAAAGAGAGAAGGAAGCATGGAAGCAAAGAGTGAAGGAAGGAAGGAAAAGGCTGAAATGGAAGAGAAAGAGGAAACAAAAAGGGGATGGAAAGAAAGGGATAGAGAAAGAAGGAGGAAGAGAAGGAAAGAAAAAAGTGAAAGGAAGGAAAGAGGGAGCGAAGGAAGAAGAGAAAGAGAAAAAGAGGGGGGGAGGGAAGGAAAGACAGAAGGAAGGATGGAAGCAAAAAGTGAAGGAAGGAAAGAGGCAGAGAAAGGAAGAAAGGAGAGAAATGGAAGGAAAAGGAAAAGGGATGAAGGAAAGAGGTAGAGAAGGAAGGAAGGAGAGAAGGAAAGAAGAAAAAGGAAGGAAGGAAAGAAGTAGAGAAAGAGGGAGGGAAGGTTGGCCACAGCAATGCATGGCGGGTACAGCTAGTCTTAGATAAACCTTTTATCAAACCATATAACAAACTTCAGAGCAAGTCAAGCTATAAAAGGATTTTGGTTGTGTGGGCACAGTTCTTGGATACTCAATGAAAAGGCAGATATTGCTGGATTGGATCGTAGCTATTGACATTGCTTGGTTGAACCAACTGATTAACCTTTGTTTGCGGAAGAGAACCTTGTTTAGGGAATAAATGAAGAGGGGAAAAAGGTGAGGAAGGCATTCACATTCTGAATTTGTGCAGAGAGATATTAGGTTAAAGTAGTATTTCCTGACAAGGAAGCCTAAGCCCTCCTCTGCAGTGATATAACTTGTGCTAAATTCCAGAGAAAATATTTGGCTTTCTGTGGGAAGGGTTGGGTGTGTTCCTAAATTCCTTGGAAAACGGGGGGAAAAGAACTTCCCATGGTTTTGTAAGCGGGAAGGCTGTCCACATCTTGCACCACGCCAGTGGATTTTCACAATTGTTTGGCAGGGATCGGTGGCCTAGACATGCAGCCTTTAAAATCTGATAAACATCTCCACACACTGGCAGAGCCTCCCTGATTCGGGATGCACATCGTTTCAACATTTGCGTCACGTCTGGGGAGTGAGGTAACACTCTTCCTTCCCCCAAACGAAGGCTTCTTGGTCCAGCTGAGGCAAGCCCTTTCTTTTATTAACGGTTTGCTTTCCTTCCATTCTTGGAAACCTCTCATAACTTACAAGGAAAGTTTTGACTCTCATGTTGGACAACCTGCACATTCTGTGAAGCATCTCCTCCATGTTGACATGCTCCTGTTTCACCTTGACTTGCATTAGATTCATTTCAATGTTTTAAAACCCTGTATATTTCAAAAATTGAAATATACTGGAGTTACTGACCATAGTCATGTGATGATGTTGCCCATTGTTATGAGGGTTGAATGAAAAGTAATGCCTCCACCTTCGTAACACCTCAACAGATGACAGAACTTGTATGTGGCAGGTACTGGCTTGTTTAGTAGACTCTCCTCTACAGTTCCATTTTGGCAGGAAGCCTTGGCATTGAACAGTTGTTTTGTTAAAGTGCGAAGTGTGGAACCCTGCACAGACGGTTGGTCAATGCGACTTAAGCAACGTGCAGTCATTGAATTCTTGACAGCAGAAGGTGTCACCATAAAGGAGATCCATCAGAGAATGCAAGCTGTTTATGGTGATTGTGTTGATGTGAGTACTGTGCGTCGTTTGGGCGAGAAAGTTTAAAGATGTTGAGGTGGGAACATCTGAGTTGCGTGACAAACAAAGAGATGGACGTCCTGTGACAGCAACCACTGAGTTTCACAAGCAAAAGGTTGACAGATTGATTCAGGACGATTGTCGTATCACTCAGAGAGAAATTTCAAACATTTCACAAGAACGTGTGGGTCACATTATTGCTTTGCTTGGCTAACGGAATATCTGTGCACAATGGGTTGTGGAAACAGAGTGTCGACTTCTTCCGTAACGGCTTCAGAAAACTTGTTCATTGTTGGCAGAAATGTATCCAATTGTCTAATGATTATGTGAAAAAGTGAATAGTAGTAGTTAAAGAGCACATTCTAAGGATTATTTCTGTGTTTGATTTATTAAAATATTCTCATCCAAACCCAAGTAACAAAGGTGGAAGCATTACTTTTCATTCAACCCTTGTATTCAACCCAGGTGGTGCGATACCAGCTAAACAGTGTAATTTCTCCAGTGGTGTGGGGCGCAGACACCCTGTGATGATGCGACATGTCTCATTAAGAGCCACATCCACTGTTTTAGCATGGTGTGATGTGTTCCACATTGGGCATGCATACTCAGCAGCAGAGTAGCAAAGCGTAAGGGCAGATGTCTTCACTGTGTCTGGTTGTGATCCCCAGGTTGTGCCAGTCAGCTTTCATATGATATTATTTCTAGTGCCCACTTTTTGCTTGATGTTCAGGCAGTGCTTCTTGTAGGTCAGAGCACGGTCCAGAGTAACTCCCAGGTACTTGGGTGTGCTGCAAAGTTCCAGTGGGATTCCTTCCCAGGTGATCCTCAGATCTCAGGATGCTTGTCTGTTCTTAAGATGAAAAGCACATGTCTGTATTTTAAATGGGTTAGGAATCAGCTGGCTTTCCCTGTAATAGGCAGTAAGAGCACCTAGAGCTTTGGAGAGCTTCTGTTCAACCATCTCAAAACTCCCTGCTTGAGCAATAATGGCACGATCATCAGCATAGATGAAGCTCTTTGTCCCTTCTGGCA